TTCTCGTGTTGAATGTCTAAGGCTTTGATAAGGGACAGTGGCTCTTCATTAGATGCAGCAACCGATCCTTGAATAAACTTCTGTCCTCGTTAACGTTTCCAGAGAAGAGAACATCCCAGTCTATTTGTGATGCCTCAGCTCTCATTTGGCAATTGGCTCTCTCTCAGTTGGCTTGGGCTTGATAAAACAGATACTACATTAAATCAAGGCGTTACGCAAAAGTGCTCGATCTTCAAAAAGATAGCAGGAGAATTGAATAAGAGACTTCGATTTGATACAAGTAATTGCATGATATGCGTTTTACGGGGCCAAATATTTGGCGGCGAAGCTATTAGGTATATCTGCGGTTACGGGATGGGGCTTCAGAAGATGATTAACTCCGTCATGGACTTGGCCAGGTGGAAAAAGTCGCTAGCCTACGTTGAAATTACAAACTTCGTTGAGACTGTTAACACCGCAGTTGTATCCAGGTCTATTTCTGAAGACCAAAAGCACTCTGAAGTAATGTGCTTTAAATTACTTGACGTGATGTAGAATATTTCGAAAGTGACCGTGCTAATTTCAAAATTAGACGACCATATTAGCGAAGTTCCTCTAGACCAAGACGTCCAACGGTTTGGCAACAAGGCGTTTCGTACGTGGTTCCAGTGGCTGTCCGAAAACGCTGGGGCATTCTGTTCTGAAATGTTGAGCTGCCAGGAAATCTCGGGTCAGCAGTTAAAATGTTTGTTTTTGCGTTCCTTCTTCTTATGACTGTCCGAACGTTCCCCATTTTAAACACTTCGTTTTCCAGTGGTGGACGTCGCAGACGACGGTTCTAGGCCTTTATATCGGCGCTGGATAAACCGAAATGGATTTTCTGTGGAAATAACTATATTATCATCCTGAAGAAATTTGGAGGCCGACAAAAATGGGCAGTCGAGTTTTGTTCGTCTCATTAACTAGGCATTGCGGACTTCAAATCCCATTTTCGAGTCGGTTTTTGCGTGCTCGGGTCGTATTTGAAAATCTCATAGAGGGACACCGGACCCTGACCCACATAAAATAAGTTACTAGCTAAAAGAACGCGCACTGGCCTGTGTGTCCGTTCTTAGCCTATTCCATCTGTCAGGAGAACCCATTTTCCCAGTGTTGCTGCCTGTTGAATAATCTGAGAACCCCCGATGTCTGTTGTCCTCAGTTTAGCCGAAATTGGATGCGTGTATGTAGCTAACGCACCTTTAATGCAGCAACAGCTTTGATTAAAAGTTTGCATAAGAATAACCTCTAAGTAGTCGGACGCTCTTAGCCGGTGGTATTACTGAAACTTGGTTTTCTAAAGGTTTGTAGAGCAGTTTACTTGTAAAATGCTGGACTTTTCTAAAATAAAACCTGGTCACCGCCGTTGGAAAGTCACAGTACTTTCGCACAATTACTGTCCTAAAGTGGCTCAGTAGAGGACTTCTGAAGGGCAATGCGGCGTGCCTTTACATACAAGTTTGCGGGTGATACATTTCCATTAGTATCAGAGTAAATACGAGGATCGACGCGACCAAAACTCGCTTGGTTTGTTAGATGTAATAGTTAATAACAGCGGAATCACCTGGTTGTCTATTTTTTGTCGTCACTAACCGTGTCAATCCTCACAGCACTGGTGTCCGGTAATTATAATCATTGTATTGCGAAGCCAAGAGTAAGTTGCCAGAAGTTTAGCTTGTGTGCTCCAGTCAGTTCCTTTAAAACTTGCGCGTGTCTCTATTGTGTCGTCAACTTTATCATTGGATGTATGCCGCAACCCTGGGAGCCAGTGAAATTTAAGATCAAAAGTTTCTAGGTTGTCGGCTGCAGTGTGGTCTCTTCATGCGTTTAACATCGTTATTGATGTAAATTAAAATGTCGAGAGACGTAAGTCACGTTACTGCATAATGAGACGCTTCAGTAGGAGATATGACTTCTGTGCCGCTCGAAAGTTCTTATCATAAGACTATAACTGCGATTTTTGTACACAACCTATTCTACAGGCTACTGTTGTCATGTCTAAACCAAAAAAAAACAACTGACTGTCAGAGAACTCTGTTTTATTGGGAATGTTTTCACATGCCGCTTTCATTTAGCAGTACGTGTGTACACGACGATCCGACTATGTCCTACGAGATATGACAGTTTTCCAAATCTGGGTTATCATGGTCTTTACTGAAATTACCGAGAGAAGTGACTTATTGCTGCGGCAGGACTATGGCGGTATCAGGTTACCGCCAACTTGACGATTGTCCGCAGAATCCTCAAATACTATCGCTGTTGTGAGCAGCCGACTTTTTATACCTGATCACCAATCTTCCGATCTCGAAATTTTCTGCAACCTATACTGTTGCATGACTGCGCGTCAATTAACTATGCCACCGAATAGCCTCATTTTCGCCACTCAGAATCGTTATTCAGTGTTTGAGTGTTCAAGTGGGCATCAGAGGAAGTAAATGGACACAGTCACTGCACAGTGCACGGGCGTGGCAGCGCACATTTTTAGACCTCGGTAGACAGAATATTCGAATATTGCTCGGTGGGTAATTTGCGAGCACGAGTCTGCCACTAACTGAGAACAGACTTACAAGATGTAGTTGGCCTGCGGTATAAGAACGGCTAAACCATGCAGGGTAGACGCGGTTAAAGTTCTGCCATTTCCACTTTTCGGAATATGATTCCCGTCTTCCAGAATTCAATATGTCCATTTCTCCGACTCAGAAAGTGACAAACAGGAGATTGCAACGTATCTGACTGAATCCGTCGGAAACGCTACTCGTATCGACTACGGCACAGGACATGAACTAGCCTTTATTGCCTTTGCTCTATGCTTGTTCAAAACCAAGTTTCTGCAAGCTCCGGAGCCCCAACCGACACCAAAAAAGATGGACAATAATGCTGTACTGGACGATATTTCCGCCGTGGCTCTGGTCTTGATGCCCGCATATCTGAAGTTGGTTCGCCACCTTCAAACCTACTTCCGGATGGAACCCGCAGGATCACATGGGGTGTGGAGCCTCGATGACTTCCAGTTCGTCCCCTACATCTGGGGCAGTAGTCAACTGGTTGGTACGTTGGTTTGTCTTGATTTAACTCTCCGACGCATTTTAAGGCACAGGCTTGTACGAACCAAAGGCGATACCCAATCGCGAAGTTGCCGCGAAGGAACGTAGCGCGAACTTACTTTTCTCCTGCATCGATTACATTTTTCAAGTTTGTAGTTCCATTCACTCAATTTTAGCCTTACGAATAGGTTAAATCTGGTCCCTTTGCCGAACACTCAAGTACCCTACAAGGTATAAGCGAAATAGCACAGTGGGAAAAGGTCAACTCGGGGATGATTAAAATGTACAAAGGAGAGGTACGTCAGGATGGCTACAATAAGACTTGACTTTATGATGACTGAGAATCAGAATAACTTTGTATGATAGGTAATGGACAAGTTCCCCATCATCCAACATTTCCTCTTTGGTAACCTGCTCAAAATCGATCCGGCCCCGCCGAGACCAATTGGGCCTCCCACCAGAAACCGGATGTTGCCGCCTTCACTCACCCCTAACAGTGGACCGCCAAGGAAACCACTTTCTCCGCCTTCATGGATTCCTCCTTCTGGCGATCCGTAGCCCTCGCATGCACCGAGGCTGAATTTGACTTTCGATTATCACAACACCTCCCCCCATTTCCAGAAAATAAAGCCCAGGTTTGCTTTGTATTGTCAACTTCCCCACTTATTATGATACTTAAACAGCCATAGCAGAAGCATAACATGGCAACTGAAAAGTCGTCTCACATGGAAAGTAGAGTTCGGGGAAAACGTTAGAAAAGTAGAAAACGTGAGCGTTAGACAGAAACGTCACTAATCTCAGCAACGGGGAAGGCACCTGCGCAGGCTTCCGGCAAGTTAGTTCAGTTTGAAAAGCTAACTGATGAGCCGGCCAGACACAGACGCCTCGGTGGTCAACGAAAAAGATGACATTCCAGACTGGCGATAGAGAGCGACTTTACGATTTCGTCGGCATGCGCCACAGAAAGGCAGCAGTTCGAGCCCGTCAGGTGTGATCTCGGTGTCACCATAGTTACTGCTGCCGGTACCGCCGCCGGAGGCTCGAGAATCAAAGAAGTTTATAGAGCGGAAGATCTCAGCCACTGACGTCCGTTCGTTTCTGCTTTGAATGAGGCAGTCAAAGTGCATTGCCCTCGCACAGCCGGGCGTAGCACACTGCAAAAAATGAAGACAAAGACCAGAATGCCTTATCGCCAGACAGACTGCAATGGCTGCCTTTTTGAAATGTTTCTTGAAGAAAAAGCAATTCCTGAAGTCGTGGTTTTCTCATGGACCCGTAGTTTGGGGGCAAACCATGGTCATCTTAATAGAAATTCTAAGCATTGCTGTGGTACAAAAAGTTCCGCTAACTGTGTAGGGAATTTTATCCACGATACAGACTCGTCCATAAAATCACTATTAACTGAGGAAGCGGCAGTGATCCGCACAGCACTAGATGTACTCTCCCCCAGCCAACTACATTAAAATCACGAAAGTAAGTCGAGCCGACTGAAGAACGGCCTGGCTCAGTTGCTGGCCTGAACCAGAACTCACATCTGTGAGTGTAAGTTGCGTGTTATTTCCTTGAACCAGATGAAAGCCGCATTGATGAGAGTTTCCCTAAGTCGTTGCAACCTGGCTCGCAATCGCGGGGACTGAGTTATCCTACAAGTTGGAGACCTAAGTCACGACCTTCAGGACGACGCGGCTGCTCATAGACACGTTAATTGTGTTATGGTAAGGGATGCCTCCTTTGCATCGTCCATAGTCTATCATTCATCGCTCATTTGACATCAGAGGCGAAACCCCGACACAGCGTTAATAGGCGGGATCAAAGGCGGTGGGTAATGTGGAGTAAAGCCCGCATGCCACGTACGACTGTCTGTCTCGGACTCCCAAACCGTATGCACATCAAGTAGGCGTCTGGTTAGATCGTGATAACCCGACCTGCCAGTCGCAATGACGTCGAGAAATATGCTCGGAAAGCCGCCATGCGCGACTCCATTGGCTTCCAGGTCGAAAAAACTTACGGTCGCGTGATCTCGAAAGGGACACGCGGTGGCACGTTTTACAATCGAAATGGTTGCGTCAATCCTTTTATGAGGCATTTACCGGACTTAGGTCTTAGTCTTACGCGCGATTGGCTCACAGGAGTCACAGAATAATGTTACGGAGACCGATAGTAATCATCGTTATCATCGAAAGGATGATGCCGAGTCGAGCTGCCACGCCGAAAGTCCGGATGGCCCATGCAATCAGTTGACTCAGTTCCCCCATGGTATACCTGATTCAAAGAGCAGACCTTGAAGTCCGCTCTTCAAGTAACCGCAGCATGCCATAAGGCTGAAGGGGCTGGCTGTCCACTAGCCCAGCGGGACGTAGAGGCTGTTACGTACCGGAAGCCCATCCAACAAGCCCTGTTGCATGTACTTGGTACGGCTGTGAAAATGTTCGAGGTAGCCCGAGTCAATAACGTCGCGAATGGTATCTCTACGTGTGGTGATCTGTGGCAGCAAATCTTAGCAGTCCGACTCATTCTGCAGGGCAGCGGACCGAGTACCAGAGGTCCATGAACCAACTCTGTCTTAACGGGACGTTTTAGACCAGGTCTTTAGTTGACTTATTCGACGTCTTCAGTCAAGAAGCAAAAGCGGACTAAGGGCAGCAACAACGATGGGGCTGGGGACAAAGAACGTCTCGGTCATCTTTAGATGACCCGAAATGTCCTCACGATGTCGCAGTGAGCGCAGTCCGTCCCATTTGGAACGAAACCAGTGTGCTTCACTCAATGGGTGCCACTCCGATAATGGTGTTAAGACGCCTTTGATCTTTGCTCGACTTCTACGGACACAACATTTGCAGTCGCAGTGAAGGCATTTTCCAGTCGAAGATCAATGACGCAGGTGTGAGTGTGGCTGCGCAGGGATCTGTATTCCGACAATAAACCGATAAATCGATTTACTGGGTTCTCATCCGAGGTCTCGACTTCAATTAATCCTCGGCTTGTCTTGCATCTGGCGTGGGCGATTACTTTGTTGTCTGTGAAGTTAGAATCTTGACCCGTTTTGAAGGTGTGGGAAGCAACTGGTGTTAATTCGTTACCCCGTCGTGTATGTACGATCCGAGCATGCGTTCAGTCTGACCTGTGTAATTACAAAGACAATTCAAGCACGGAATATGAGACTGGCCATTCCAAGTTAACGACCCAGTCGAAAATGGAGCCCGAGTACACTTTCGACTACTATGGGGATATCACAGTACATTATTTAAGTCATAGTTGGTTGATGACAGTAGGGCGGCAACGTCAACGTAATCGAAGTCGGCCAATGGGAGTGCGAACGCAAAGTCGACACCGTCATAACATCATTTGGCCGGCCCAGTCAACGGCGCAAAAAGGATGGATGTCGTAATACAACCCTGACGAACATCAAGCCTGACATCGGACGACCGGGGGAGGTTGGACCAGAACTCGAGCAGCGGTGGAGCGATACTAGGCCTTGGTCGTAGTGACCATTTCTGCCCAAATACTATCTAGCTCAATTAGTCATAGGGAATTGAACGCAGTATTGAATTCAACAAAGGAAACTGCCGTCTATCGTGGCGTTACCTAACACTCCGGTAATTTGTGAGAAAGTCGGCGTGCCAAACCCTCAGCCTTCCGTGCCTTGTCGCCGGTGGTCTGTGACTGGTTCTTCGTTAAACCCGAGAGCCTGTCAAAGACCGTCCCGATATCTGCCAGATGAACAACAGTGGGGCTGGCGGATAATTTCAACTTCGATTTATCTTCGACTCTCATCTTCCCTTCCTAGGGAGGCGGCCACGTGTTGCCCTGATTTCAATCAAAGACTGCCAGAGAAAAGCGAACCTGGGCTACTTTTAAATGTTTCTGGTGTTATCAGCTCGCTGACTTTGAGACGTGTTTTAAATATGTAGACGACGGGGCTCTACTGCTGACTGGCTTGGCAGAAGGTGCGAGCCTTAAAAGTTGACATTATAACAGGATTTAATTAGCTGGGGGGAGTTTGACACAACCTGCCGTTGCTGGAGCTCTTAGATGGAAGAATCGGGTGAGGATGATCGGCACTATACTCACAAGAGTTCACAAAACCGCATGCATCAGGAGTGGCAACTATGAAAACCGTTCGCATATATGGCTATCTGAAAGACGCAGCACCTAACTCCCAAACTGTCAGCTGGCCTACAGTCAAGTTCAGTTTTATTATGGGAAGTATAGGCAAACGTCTTTGAACTCCCTATTGGTTAAAAATCGTCTGAGAAAAGCACTGATAAGTGGAAAGTTGAAAAAGAGACTTGGTACATAGTTGCATGCGAACGGTGGGCAGCTGTCAGTCAGTCGAAAAGGAGTAAACATGGACGGCTACTCATTTATCGTAAGTAGTATAAGCATGCAAGTTGGGTGACGAGTCACGGGTGTGCGTGTGCGGCTGCTAGTTGGGACGCTTGATACGCGTCCAGTCTAGACTTAAACAAATCCACACAGGAGGAGAGTAAAACATCGGTAGTCAGGGCATTCCACGCTGCAACCACCTTGTTACTGAAAAAGAACTCTCGTCCATTGATCCTTGCCTTACCTGGGCGTAGTTTTAGAGGAAGACTGCGCAAAGTGGGCGTGTTAGCCTGAGGGAACTAATCATTGGGAGATAAGCAACGGTCTTGGCCTTTTATAATGCGAAATGTTAGTATAAGATCACCGCGTAGTTGCCTGTAGGAAAGGAGAAAGAGGTTGAGGGTTGACAGTCCGGTTTCATGGGGCAATGCTCCCAGAACTTTTGCCGCCCATCACTGAACCCTCTCTAAGCCGGTATAGTCCTTGAGAGTCCAGGACCGTATGGCTTATTCTAGATGTGGCCGCACAAAGGTGCCAAATATTTTGGAAAAGCTGTCTTTGTCAAATACCATTAAGGCTCGCCTAAGGAGTTCAATGTAGCCATAGCCGACTTAGCCGCCTTCGCGCAGTTCAGTGTTCGTTTGAGTGAGGATTTAATCTACACACCCATGTCCGTTTGACTGTCAAATTGTTCCAGTGGTGTACGGTAAAGAAAGTTCAGTAGATGTGCTAACTTATGAAATGTTAACCGAAATTCTGAAATGCGTTTTCGACTCAAAAAGATTACTTAAATAGGGTTGTAATATCAATCACCATGCAGCATAATCCTGTGGTGATTCAGTTACTTTGGAATGTCGGCTTTTAAAATAACTTCTTTCCGGCTGCCTGCAAAAACTGACTGCAAAAATGCCTACTTAGATAGCATAAGATTTCCTCATTGATTTTAAATGCCCTTATAAATTAAAGTATATCTCATAGAAAACGTGCATATAAATATTCATTCTTCTACTCGTTTGATAGAGAATTACGTCTTCTGCAGTTTTTTTTATACGAAGTGGAATAATTCGGTTTTAAAATTTTTTCCCGATTTCCAAATAATTTTGAACCCAACGTGCCGTTAAACTTGAAGTCAGGGTTTTCCACCTACCAGTTGTATATTTTCTGTGTACGGAAAACTATAAATTTCGCTGTGGTATTAAGAGGTGGCCATATGGGGTAAATAAAATTTGGCAGTAGATTTGAGCAATATTGCAAACTTTACAAGCAACATAAGTAAATGCAGGGACGTGATATTTTATGAACGGGCATTTCACGGTCTGTAAAAACCTCATAATTAGAAACTTTTCTCCAAACTAAATAATGTCCTTCCTTCAAGTAAAGAAATGTAAAGATGTAATTTACTAACAAATGCGTAAAAGGATGGATATTTTTATGCATGTTTTCTATGAGATATATTTGAATTTATATGGGCACTAAAAATCAACGTGAAAATCCTACGCTATTTTAGTAGTCATTTTTCAAATAGGGCGGTTTATTGAAGGCAGCCGAAAAGAAGTTCCTTCAAAAGCCGGCGTCCTAAAGTAACTGAATCACTGAGTCAAAAACGCATTTCAGAATTTCGGTCAACATTTCATAAGTTGGCATACCTACTGTAAGTCCTTGGGCTGGAGGCTCTGCAACTGTCGAATTGAAGAAAGTTGCACTTGCTTACATTGAAGGGCATAAGCCGGCTCTTCAACCAGTCCTCGAGTCTGTTTAAGTTTGTATGCAGGTGGTCTGCGTCTGCCGCATTGTGAATAATTTTCCACAATTTTATGTCAGCAAACGGGATGACATCACAGTCTAGGTTCCTGACGAAGTCATTTACGAAAACGAGGAATAACGTGGAGCCTAAGACTGAGTCCTGTGGGATGCTGCTCGTCGCGGTTACCTCTGAGGACTGTCGGCGCCCGACCTGCACTCTTTGGCACCGTCCAGTCATAAAGTTGTGAATCCACGCAAGAAGGCTTCCAATAATTCCTGCGTTGCGCCGTTTGTACAAGAGACGTTGGTGAGGAACGCTGTCGAAGGCCTTTTTTAAAGTCGATGGAGATGGCGTGCACCGCATTGCCTTCGTCACATGCACTGGTCCAGCATTCGAGGGAAAAAAGCAGATTCGTGAGACAGGACCAATCACTTCGAAAGCCGTGTTGGGCATCGGGGAGGAGGTGATGCTGCTCGAGGAACTGCATCAACGCTTTCTTAATTATTTTCTCCATGATTTTGCAACAGGTGGAGGCAAGACCCACCGGCCTGTAGTTATTCGCAGACGCACGACTTCCACCCTTAAAAAGCGGACTGATGGTAGCGGTCTTCCAATCGGAGGGTCGGCACACAGTAGCAAATGACATTTGGAAGGGTAAGGCTAACGGTTTGGGCATTTGGGGGCTAGCTCCTTCAGCAGCTTGGCCGTGATTGTATCAGGGCCTGGGGAGGTTGATTCTTTCAGGTTTAGCAACTCTTTCTGAACGATTGCTTCGGTGAAGAAGACTGTTTCAATGGTAGGCTTTTCCTCGTCTCCACAAGTGAATGGGAAAAATCAGGTTCACTCGGCACGACGAGCCGGAAGTAGTGAGAGAGATGTTCAGCCTTATCCTTGTCATCTGAGATTTCTACACCCTCGGCCATTCGTAGCAGTGGGATAGGATCTTTGTTCCGCGTACTCTGTCTTATGTAACTGTAAAGGACTTCGGAATTAACCATGGCAGGGCACAAAAGACCCTTTTCGAAGACTTTCCGATCCCTGGCGATGAGAATTTGACCGCGTTTCTCTATAACTTATAACTGTTTAGGGATTCAGGCGTCGGGTCAATGAGGGATCCTTTCCACAGTTTCCTCTTCTTGTTAAATTCTTTATGGAGGGAGTCAACCAGTGGGGTCTATTCGTCAGTCTGATTGGGCAGTAGCTGGAGATGAGGCTGTGAACTATCTCTCTGAAAAGACACCAAACCTCGTCGATAACGCCGGAGAGTGTGGATGCCCAGTCGATAGGACGAAGATCCCTTTTCATTTGCTCGAAATCGCCGCGCCAAATATCGGGTCAGAAAGCAAGCGGTTGTGCTGGCAGGGAGAATAAGATGCATTCCCACATGGGAACTACATGGTCACGCTGACCCAACGGGGGGAGGGAATTCACAACGTCGATGTTATCAGACGACTTAGTAAACACAAGGTCGAGGCAGTTCATTTGCTGGCCCTCACAAAACCTCGTCGGAAATATCACGTGTCGGGTGAGAAACAGATTGTCGGTGGTATGCAGAAGCCGCTGGTCGAGTGCCATTTTCGAGTTGTCGGCGGAGGCCGAGTTCCAGTCGATGTGAGGTGCATTAAAGTCCCCAACGGCACGAGTATTCCGCCGCGTAGAAAATAATCTGAGCTCCTCCATCAGTTGGGCGTCAAGGTCAGGGTCATTTCTCGGGGGAGATATACTGTTATAGTATTGAGACGTTGAGAACTCGGTGTCCTTATGGCCAGTATAATGCTTTCGTACTACAAGTCAATTCGGCAGTTTTTTCTGAAACGTACAAGCCATTCTTAACAAATGTTGCTATGTTTCCACCCCTTCTGTTTTTTTCTGTCCCTGAGGAACAGTTAAAATCCAGGATGCGTAGGCACCCTATCACCAACCTGTTCGGACAACCATGTTTCTTTTAATTGATGCACTGCTTCCCGGGAAGAATTTTGGACAAGGCCAAGGCGAGGAAACATGCATAATTTATTGACGCCATTAAATTTCGTGGCCTTATGAATGCGCAATGACCGTTGTGCAGTTGAATAAGAGGTCACGAAATTTAATGACGTCAATAAATTCTGCATGTTTCGTCGCCTTTGCATTGTTCAACCGTGTTTCTGTTATTGAGATAACGTTTGAGGGGGGTGGGTCGCAGATATGGAGTTCATCCACTTTTGAAAGTACACTTTGCACGTTAGTATACAGGAATGTGTGTTCCAAGTTCATGCGAGATTGGTTCACAATCCTGACACAGGCTACTGGGGTATCTGTGCGGTCATTTGAATCGGCTTTTTCCAGAGGGGGGCGGAATGTCGTTTTACTATCTGGTCTTTGTAGATTACCAGGTTCTGCTCTCCATTGGTTCGTCGTGTTCTCAATTCTAGGAGAAGTTCGCGGCGTTTCATTCTTTCGGCATGTGGGTAGTCCGGTTGAAAAAAAAACACTCCTTTTTGGGAATGCTGCAGTCGAAAACGCCTGGAAAGAATTAGTTTCGCCTGCTCACTACAGCCTAGGACGATTATAAGCGGTCGTGGTCGCGTCTGCGGAGCGGCATTTGTATGGTTACCGAAACGAAACGCCTTTAGGATGGTGATATCCTCTGATGGTCGCAGCGTGGGAAGACGACTGTTGGTCGCTGATCCAGTTTACTTGGACGCCCGATCTTCGACCTCTAAACACCCGTGTAAGGCGACGATAAGAAAAATAATTAAAGTGTGCGCATTTTTAAATTTTTTCCATGCTTGTGCAAATACAATCTCGAAATGTAATTTCCCATGCTCATTTTCAGGAAAATAAATTTTACTGAAACTCCGTATTTTAGACGTCTTGATTTTAAGAAAACTCCTACCTATGGCACTTTTGAATGTTTTGATCCAGATTAATTCCCATATGCTGGGCGTAAGAAGCCCCCTATATTGGTGGCCTTGCTAAAAAATGCTATACCGTTTTCAGGCAAAACGCATAGGATGTGGTTAGAATGCCTAGGGATCACGAGAATATGTGTGAATTACTGAACTCTTTGCAGAAATGTTACGCAATATCAGCTGTCATATTTCACAGAGACGCAGATGAATTTGTACAACAACTCAAAATCAATGTAGGAATTCCATGCAAATAAAATGACGTCTTTCTTAGTGGCCGAGAGAATTTGCAACAGAAGGCCAGTATGCTTTTATGCAAAAAGAGACTACGTTCTTTTCCAGTCGTGGATGCAACCTCGCCTACGGCTACAGCTCCCCCATAAGGGCCTATTTGTGCTTTCCAATCCAAGTCTAGTGGGTTTCGAGGCCAACGGTAGGTCGCAGACGAGTGCGACGGAGCAGAGAACAAAAGAAAACTCACGCGTCTGAACGCGACGAAGGCGTGGGGCCAGATGGGTCGCGAGGGATCGTCGCAAATGTCGCACACGCTGGTCTCCAGCAGACAGGCCGAACAGCTGTTGACGTGGGTCAGAGCGAAACGGTTAATGGCCGCCCCAAGGTGCTCCGCTAGCTCACCGGTCTGAACGGCAACCAGATCCTGTGTACGGAGGACAGAGGGGGGGGGGGACAGGCGAGTAAGAGGCAGTTATTGTTAGCAATGGACCTAACAGTCAATCTGTGGAGAAACAGTGACGAATAGGGGGGGGGGTGGGCGAAGTGACGATTGGTGTGCAGAAAATTTGGGGAGGAGCCCACGTGAGGCTTCCTAAAGCAGGCATGATTAGGATTATAGTGGGAAAGACTTGTGTTCTCCTACCCCAGTGACAGGGCTGCGGACAAGGCTTGAGATGGCTGACAGAGCATACAAATGTCGTTTACGACGCATGCAACAAATGGGGTGGGTTACTTGGCGTAACGCGCGGGACGCGCACGGCACCAAATTCGGACTGACATTCATAAAACTACTAGAACATGAATAAGGCGGACACTTGTGACATTGAGTCAACGGCGATGTCTGTGAGACTGATAATAAAACTGGTTGACTTACAGATCGATCGGTCTTATGCAAGTTTGTCATGTCTGGTATATGCATAAACATGGGTGTGATTAGGATTAAAAGTCCATGTATAACGCTAATCCGGACGGTAACCGTTACCAAAAGGCCGGATGACACGTATCCAGCATGTGTTATGTCATATACTAGGGTGTATTCGATGCAACGATTATGTCCCATATAAGTTTACGGCCTGCAGCCGTTTTCTGATAATGGAAATTATACCACAGACGTCAACCCTGCCGAAACACGACTGGGCTATCTCCCATGACCGAATTGGGCTTAACACCCAAAAATTCGCCGGAATTTGACAGACAGTCTAAATCCCACGTGCTCTCACTCGGCAGTCGAGCAGGTGCAGATCTAAGCCGCTGCACTCAGTAAAGCTCTGTAGAGCGAAGGATTATAATTGAACATCGAGTAGGGCTAGATTGGAGTGGCTGCTTTTCAGTGCGACTGTCAATTCGACCACGCGGAAATTCTGGATACAGTCAATATTCAACACACGTACGCGCTGCGCGTTTGCAATAAAACTAACTGGTCGGCTACAAACGGAAAAAAAAACTGTGATTAACGGACATGCGAAAGCACCTACGAACTTGCTGAATGTGGCAATGAAGATGCGGGCGGCGGGGTTATTCTGTCCCTTTTCACTACGGTGTTTTTTTCCCAAGCCCACCATGAGAGAAGCATGCGGGGCATGTCGACGAGCGCAGCAGAGGTTTACATCGAAAAGACCAGTGTGGATTGGTAAATCAACTACTGACGACGGGATTTTTACGGGGGTAGTCATAAATTTCGTCAGTTCGTAGTGCAATAGACGTCTAAACTGAACGACTATACAGAGAAGTTGGGTCAGCTGCCTGATCCAAGCGCAGGACTGAGCCGACATAGTTAGGCTCTCAATTTTTTCTAACAGGTTAATGACTACCACTTTATTTGAAAGTGTTGAACGGGAGTCCTTGTTCTCAAAGGCTTGATCAGCTACCAGAGGTAGTGCAGAATCAAGAACAAGTAAAACATTCCGACGGAAACCATTAGTCATCAGTAGTGGCAGAAGACGTAAGAACTAGATCAAAAAGTACACAAATGTCTTCCGAGATATCAGTCGCCTAACAGTGACGTATTTTTAAAATTATCGACCAGCCCAAACTCCATAGTGTTAGCAACTCAGCAAATGTGTTCTGCCGAGCCATTCCTTATCCTTAAATAATTAACCTGACGCTATTAGGCTGCCTAACATGGTCGCAGATGGGCGTTACATGGTAAATAACTCGTCAGTACTTCCCAGATGGTCGAGCAAGGAAGATCGTGGCCGTTCCTCGAGAGAGCGAGCAATACAACTGGAGAATACATTTTGATAGTCGGCTGGGTATACACAAATTAAGTATGACACCATGTCGCTATAGAAAAGTTGTCGTAGACAGAACAGCCCTAGCAGACATTGCCGGCGCATCGTAGATAATCACAGACACGAGAGCCTCCCTTCGAAACTGACAGGGATCGCAGAAGACCCCACAGCCCAGAATGTAACAAACCAATGATAATATCTTCGCTGTCATGGTAAGCTATCGGATCTCCGCCATAATTGTGGTGGGAAAGCACTGATGAATGGTGGCAATGCTGATGATTGTAAGGTGTAGGTCAAATCTACATCTTAGCCGCACAACACAAGGAACAGACATAGCTTCTAAGGGACCGAACTGTCAGGGGTGCCGAAGCGCGGCTGCAAAACAGAGAGGCCGGACTCCAAACACTCATTGCCACCAAACAGAGTCCGACAAAAGCATCCGGACCAAAGTGGTCGCCCATCAGGTTGTCTGATATTTAGTTAAACTACCTAATGGACGCGAACAACAAGGAATTGGGACAAGGTGCGACTGAGACAACTGTCCGCGACTTCCAGCGAAGGAGGCGGCTGGCGATGAAGAATCCAACTGACCCAGGCAAGATCAGATCAATCATTTGCCCCAACCACTAATTAGCCCAACCACCTGATTTGATCTCTCCACTTATTCAAACAGAATCGAGCGGTGAAGAAGGTCGACAGGGAAGAAGACATTCGTGAGGCGGAACAGACAAGACCCACGAGGGAGTTGGATTAACAGCGACTGCTCACCGAGATGGAAAAGAGATCAATGTCGATCAGACCGGTGAGCAGGTAAGCGCGGGGGCCGAGGGAGGTAGCCAGAGTTTGAGCCGCCTGGTTGCAGCATCGGGTCAGCTGGGCCCAGAGGAGTGCAAGTTTTCGCCTTAGGCGTCGCATGCTAGCCAATTCTTCAATTGCCGCATACAGTCCTGGGTTTACGCGGGCAAGGTTGATAATGGGGTAGTTGACAATGGAGTCCAGGAAGGTTTTGGTGGCAAAGGAGACTAAAAAGACGATCGGAAAAGCCAGTACCGTCTGCAAAAGCAAGCTTATGGACACAGCATACTACTGTCACTAGCTGAAAAGCCTTCCGATAGCACTCAAAAGAAATGGTAAAATAAAGGTAAAAATCGGGTTCCAAGTGGGTGCTGGAGAGGCTGATTCCTTAAGACAGTGTAATTGTTTGAAAATAAGGAAGGTATTCGTCTTCCTTTTCTACCTAACTTTAGCCAGAGTCCCAGGCTTTTCTCTACATATATTCGTGAATCCTTGAAAATAAACTTTCTTCACGGCTGTTTTGTAACTGCTCACTCACTAAATGGCATGGTGGATTACGCCTGTTTCTTTTGTGGGTCGATAATTTCCTTCACCAACAGCTAGAAAGAAATGTTCCTTTGGGAATGCTTGCAGTTCAGTGGTGAGTTGTGTTAACGGAGGAAATTTGACTTCAGTGGTTAGAAATGAAAGCACCCTCCCCCACTTGCATGACCGCCACTTACAGCGACAAGAATCGATGGATGTTAGCAAAAAAGTCGAAGCAGCTGTGCACAGGTCTTAGTCTAAAGTACTGATCCTCCGTTGCTATGCAACCGCTTAAGGCCGCTGCACACCGAAACTCTGAGAAACGGAACGAATCGATGGATCTTAGCAAAAACGTCGAAGCAACTGTGCACAGATCTCAGTCTAAAGTACTGATCGTTCGTTGCTATGCAACCGCTTAAGGTCGCTGCACACCGAAACTCTGAGAAACGGAACGAATGGTAAGATGGAAGAGCAGTGCGTACCTACCCGGTTTCCTTGAGAAATCCCAACTGTCCAGTATGCGCCTGGGAATTATCGCCTGCTGGTTTTGGTGGCACGTGGAACAGTAAAGACGCCCATCGTAGAAGTCCAGGGCAGCGTCGTCTGAAGGAAAACCAGAAGCCATGGCTGTACAGAGGGCTACCACGGATTCTCAAGCAATACGCCGACACAAGCTATGGGTGCGGGTGGGAGTGCTCTTGTGCATTTATACCCTGTTTGAAGCTAGCTTGTACCATTTGAATTGTACATGGCTAACCAAATAATCCAGGGAAAGGGCGCAATATGCGACCAGACTTTACGCATGACTTATTACAGCCTACTGATTCAAACGAAAGAAGTGCTGTTTACTTTGGATGCACTTATTGTCTTTTTCCAGGATAACATAAATCTTCGCTTAAATATCATATTCAGTTTATTTGTCGGTTGGTATGCACGCCAATTTGATATACTTTACCTCTGCAGGCCACCTTGGCGGCTTCTCTGTGTTCCGCTGTTCTGCATCATTATGTCGTGCCATTGGGTTAGCGTTCCCACCTTATTCTTATGGGGTTCACCAACGGCATCCGTCCTTGGGTTTCTACTGGCCATTTCGCTGCCTTGATTGCTGAACTTGGCGTCTTATTGCGCGGGCGTTAGTATTCAATTTTCCGCGTCGCTATCGGGGTCATGCGCGAATCTATTTGAAACTGTTCACGGAATTGGAACATTTTTCCTAAACTTCATCCTTTTTCACCGCTCTCCTTCCCATCCATTAGTCCCACCCATATAACCCCTACTTCCACCGCTCCCGTAAGACGCGGTGACCTATTCTCCGCATTCTGGATGGGGTCGCATATTGCGTCGTTTGTTGAGGCACGGTTAGCGACGGTTAATAAGCGAGAAATTGTCACTCCAGTCTCCCTTGCCTCTGTCGGCATTCGTTCCTGTACAGCTGTTGGTCACTCTACGACTGTCTGCGAGGACTCTAGATCTAGCGCCTGTCCAATGGCGAGACATTGTGTTAACTAAACGAAGCAATGACTTTAATAGAGGAGTGAAAGATTCAACGACTCGGAAGAAATGGAGTGGGGTTATTCCGTTTTGACATCGGAGTTAGTTGCTAATGGTTCGAGGTGCGTTGCATTTTAAACAAACAGCCAAGTGGACCCTAAAAAGACGGCGTAGGTATGATCTGACTTGACCTCCAGTTTCCAAAACATTCAGTGCGGTCTTGGCATGGGTAAGCATCAGATCTAGTCCGAAACCCCCAAGAAGACGGGAAATGCCTGTTGGCCTAGCCACGGGCCACACGACACGTCTGGAAGTGGCGTCGCGCGAAGCGGCTTTGATCAAAGACTGTTGTATATGGCAAATAAGCAGTCGCGAATCAAGCGTTGCTAATATTTTCGGGGATGGCTATACGTCGATGGCGTTTTAGCCCCGTATCTAGGGCAACAAAAAAAAACAAGTTTGCATATCGGGAAGCCTACATTGGGCCGACTTTCAGATGCAAGAGACTTCACTGCGCAGCTAACAACCCTCGAGCGCCTTGACCCAAGTCGTATGACCGCTCCTCGTCGTCTGGACTCCAATGCTGACCCAAGGGTTTTGTTACTCTGCCGCCCGTTAAGCGCCGAATCAGGTTAGCAAGTCACTCCACGATTTGTCTTCTTGTCATTTGAAGACTATTTTGGATATTGACCCAGTAGCATAACGGCCGTTTAAAGCCCTTATTACTACTAAATTTGTCGGTTATCAAGAGTTTCAGTTTGGCCGACTTCATTGACGTTCAATAGCACATGGTGAGAGGTCTGGTCTCCATATGGGGTCCTAATCCATACGTCAAAGTCGGCGGGCGACATCTTAACCAGATAGCGCCAACTTTCATCATGATCAAAATTGCCTCTTGATTTGCCATCTTTTCTTGTCTTTGGCTACTTTTGAATTATTTTTGGCAACTAGGAGCAGGATGTAGATGACGACGGGCAGTTAAATTTTACAAACAAAAATTGGATAGTAAACTCGCAAAGAGATTCATGCGATATGCCAATTTAAGTGCAAAAAACCGTTAATGCAAGTAGGTAGGAAACCAGATTGAACGTTCTGTACTAATACAGACTGCGTGAGCATGGGACGAGTCCCGGTTGGCGGAGATGCAGGAGAAAAAACAGGATGTGAACCAAATGTCAAGGTGACCTGCCTGGAGAAAGGCGTTTTGAACAGAAGGCGCAGCATCCACCAAAGGCCGTGTTGGACGGGTCTTCGGTCTTGAACTCACTGGCACCCGGAAATATGCTGGCTAGGTAGGTCTTGTGCTAAAAAAAACAGGAAGCACATGTACAGGCAAATAAGAAGGCGATACACACGGTGCGGAAAACAAAACCAGTGACTTTCTCTACATGACGGAGGACAAGGACGCGTGATACTTCACGAAGGCACTTTCACGTGAATGCAAGCGCTCTCTCCAAGTGGGCGTTCAGTGGAGGCCACTTAAACGCCCTCCATTATTGTAAAAGGTAGCTAATTGTAGGCAAAACAAAGGTTTGGTGGTGATGGGATGAAGCGGCTACGGATATCAGACGTCGTGTGATGGACAATCTAGCTCTTTTTCAGTGGTATAATTCGCCCAGAAGCGGAGTACTATATCTCATGGCTACCACGCGATCAAATTCCCAATCCGCAGTTGTCCGTGTAAGGTCAGAAGTTGTTTGGTCTTCCAAATCCTTTCCTGCCTTATCGGTTGCCTACGGAGCACTGGTGTCGCGTGGTTAGCAATGCGGAGGCAACTACTCAATGTAATGACCTCGCATTCGAAAAATTACGAAGGTTGTTGTCAGCTCATGCAGACAAGGTTTCAACTTCAATCTTCCGTCCTGCATCGCATTTACCAGGCTCATCATACTTATTGAAACTTTGTTTGCAAACGTTTCTTGGGCTCAAGATGCTTCATCGACAGCCAAGCCGCTGGAGGATGTTTTACCCTAGTCCAACGATGCATAGCAGTAGCAATGAACTCACCAACGTCTGTGAGATTGGTCATCTGAGTACTGTGCTTTGTGACTCATCAAACGTGACGAAACCAAATCTGTCTGTAAGCACAATCCGGCGACTATGCCTCTCGAGTGAATTCGCACGGCAGATTGTACGCGATATCGCTGCGAACATGTGTGATCTTAGGGACCTCAGTGACGTCCTGTAGAATGTCGGTAACGACAATCGGTGGATCAGGGGGGGGAGGGCTGGACCCGGACTCTCCCTCGGCGGTGAAGGCTGAAAGTCGTAAATCCAGCAGTCATCATATCTTCGTTGACCGTGTCAAGTCAGGTTTTGAAATAAGACCCTCTCCGTCGTCTCCCGTGTGGACGGTGGCTTCCGATTTCTGACAGGAACGCTGGACTAGCGAGGAGAGTAACGAACGCGCCTAGAGCACCCAAGTCGTTTCTTTGGATAATTCAGAATATCCTCGTAAGATCGGCATAGGGATCGTAAGACGTTTCACCCTAGATCAAGGCTGCACGCTTCACTTGGAGAATCGTCATTAGTCGACGGCAGTCAAAAATCCCAGCTTCGCCAGGATTTCACATACAGCTCAGCCACCACAGCCGAGGCGGAGGACTGGCAGAACGACAGGATGTATCCTTTTCGAATGCCTGGGAGAATCCTGAGAGGTTTTGGATATGTTGCAGACGCGAAAATAGGTAGTGTTGATGGAATAACAGGTCTTGATGTCGGTCCATCATTGGGCTCCATTATTCGATATAAGGAGTCGCGAGAAAGGAAATTTAACGTGAGAGCTAGGTCATTCAAACCCCAGTCTGTCAGTGAGCGATCCCCATGCAAGTAATGCTTGATTCGTCGACTTCGAGAGGGCAACTGGCGCAACGTGTGTGTCAGAGAAGTTGAAGGAATCATTGTGGCCAAAAAAGGATATACTGATGTCTGAGATCCCGCGTCTGGCGTTCATAAGTCGAACATCCAGTAGGCATCCGCGCGGTACCGGTGAAAAATGTGCACTGTTGGACTACGGGCGAATATCGTAGATTGCAACGATCAGTATGCAGAGTCGATCCAGAATTGGTAACCCGTCATGTTGTGCGTCGTCTGCTTGGATGCCGCAGTACGAATTAAAGCTAACGATTTGGAAATCCCGCTCGTTTTCTTGAAAAGAAATCTGCCGCAGAAATGTCCCGCAAGTCGTTCAGATTGTTTATTTTACGATGTCTCTTCTAGCGCCTTGGTTTTCTCGACCCTAAGCGCATGGCTGTTATGACAGGGAAACCTACTTGATAACGGTCAACCATCATCAGGTCACAGTGCTGCGACTGGGCGTCAAAGTGTAGTACAGGGCGGTCGGTGTGTCCAGTACTGCGGCCACTGGCCCATGATTACCTATTTCCCGAGTCTAATACTGCTTGGCAAACAGACAGCCCTCGCTAACGGTCGATCCACCATCCATCACCCATGCAAGCACTGAAGACACACCAACAAGTGTTTGTCCTCCTGTTGTTTCATTTTGAAGATTCAGAACTTACCCTCTTCCTTAAAAGCCCACTTTGGCAAATCTGGGTCTCAGGCGTGGTATGAGTACAAACCACACCGCTGAAAATCGAAACACATCATACCATTCAACAGGAAACGAATTATGACTGCTGGGTTCAAATTACTTATTGATAGGAATAGTGGACACAACCGGGAACTGTAGGCAGTTCATTTAAAGCAAGGCTGAAACTCTGGAAGAGACAAATTACGGTCCGGTTACGCGTGGCGCTAAAAGCAATTTACAGTGGATTTCTTCAAAAGAACTGTACGTGTTGATGTGACGTCACACCTTATATCATTTACAGTAAGTAAGCTGAGATGTCATTGTGACTCTAAATTCTCTCATCGCTCTTTGAACCCCCTACCTCTCCTCCCCGCCCCTCCAAAAAAAATGCGGTATGAAAAGAATGTACTGAAGCCAACATCAATAAAAAATAAAAACTTTCAGAATGAAACACCAGAAGATGTTTGCTAATGTACCTCATCTGAAATTGGCAACATGAGATCGTCACCAACCATCTCCCAATTAACCTCGGAGCTTGACGACTCTGCCTACAAAGGATGAAATTATGAAGATGAGGAGGGAAGACCTGATCGTCTAATTAATTTCAAACAGATACAACGAGTGAGCGAAAACTATTAAATTAAAGTAATTCATATTGACCCAACTGTGAAAAAACCCAAACTGTGAAAAAACCGAGGCGCCGAGTTTTTCACAGTTGGGTCAATATGAATTATTCAAAATCTGCCAAAATATCAATAAATTAAAGTAACTTAAAAAATTTGGTTGTTATACAGAAAATAATGTAGATCATTATGACACTTCACTTGAAAACACCCTTTAGAAAGCGGAGACACTTGAAGGCTGCCAGAGGAAATAGCTGAAGTTAGAGTTCACAGTAGGTTCTTCAGGTTTCTGACATATCTTTACTTTGAAACGATGAATCCTAAATAAATCAGTAATCCAGGTCAGACGCAGTTTGCGATCATTGCGTGTAAAGAGAGAAAAGCACAAGTATCAAAACTATATCCAAACACTGATTAGTGACGCCTAATCTCCGAAGAGTGACTAGTGTATCTCGTATCTCGGCGTACTTCATCAAGATATGCTCTAATTGCTTGAGATCTAACTCTTGTTAGACAGAAATATATCAGTCAGTGCACAAACGGATTTAAGTCATATATGAGATGTTACCTAACAGCTGAACGACACTTTTTACTACGTGGTTGCACGTGAAAAAAAGTACAACCGTTTGTCTCCTGAGTCTTTTGGGGCGTAACAACTAAAACAATGTTTTGTTTCCTAAATATTTAACAGTCAACATGGTCCAGCAAGGCAAACTTTGGAGGAAAAATCTCAAACTTCTCATTTTTACGAAAAAGCTGGCTTGTGAAACTAAGTGAATCCTTGGTTTTCTGTGAACAACAAGTTTACGAAATCAGCCATTCCAAACACATGATACTGTCTGTGTGGGAAAAAAATGCAGTGCGACTCTCCATCAGCTGAGTCTGACTAGTCCAGTGTGCCCCCACCCCCCATTCTAGCATCCTCAAACACAGATATGGTTGTTTGTGCAAACATCAGATGATAAGGAATTCGTCTATTCTATCGAAATCACCAAGTTCCCCAGTTATGCTCACGAAGTAAGCGCAATGGTATGCGGAAGGGAAACTCTATAAACGTACATCCGAGGGGGGTTCACTGGCGCTCTGGACATGTGATAACTGCTTTGGACGAAGTGTTGAGAAATCGTCAACGCACAGCCACGAAGATTGACTCGGTGCGCACAAATTATTCGAACCACTGGGAAAATCCGTCATTTTGTCACACAAGTCGCATCTTCCTCAGGACAAACCAAGGACTGGAAGGGATACTGGAAATAAAATTCTGTAATAAAGGGAATGCAAACTTAGTGAACATCGAATCGCACAGAATTTAAATAAGGCGTAAAAGTTTCCCTAAAACGGAATGCGTCATTTGGGTCCGTATGTTTTATTTTCCTTCATTTTACTCAGGATGGCAGTAGATACGGAATCACAAGAATAAACAAAACCATGAAATCGAAGGCAATAAAGGTGCGGTAGTACAGACAGAGTAATTCCGTTCGATGATGTACACTTGAAGGTACATTAAATTCTCGAGCCAAATGTGCAGTCGAGAAAGCATGCCTGCGCAGGAGTTGTACGGGTGGAAATAAACAGGACGGTGCAGTTGAATGCAGATGAACTAGTGTAAGCGGCAACGTGTCACGAAAATAATTGTGTGTACAGTTTGCTGGAACATACAAAGCCCCCAGCCTAGTAACAGAAGTAACGGACTGCCCAGAAGTCGGCTTCAGAAACTGTAAACTGAAGTATATTTGCTGTTCCGAACCTTATCGTATCCATTACTAATGACAAGACTAACCAAAAATCCCTCATCGCCACCTTTCGCTGTCGGTCAGCCCAAACCTGAGTAAGTTTCGTAAATGCCCACAGTGTCAGTATTAATGACAATAAAAAAGGATACGTAGATAAAAGAATGCCTAAAAGTAGCAGTGTCTGAAATAATCATCAGAAAGGACCAAAACATGGTTTGCAATCACGTTGTTGCTCTGTTCTCTCTTGCTGTGTAAATGAAAAATGACTAAATTATCATCTCGGCCGAAAAAAAATATATAGACCAATAGGTACTATGCAAAAAATGGCTTAGAGTCCACAATTCGCAAATATGCGACAAATTTGAACACGCATTAGCGCAAAGTCAGGGAAAAAACATGCAATCGAGAGACCAATAGTTGCACTAACACTGGCCAAGATGGGTTTGCACATATGCTTTAGTAGCTAGGACCGTTAAATTTAAAACGGAAACTTGTAAGACAGACCTTTAGCGGTGTGAGCAGGGTCTCCTCACAATAATACTAAGAGTACGTCAACTTTACCTAACTGTAAAATTTCATAAAATGTATTGTAACCCTATTTTATCCAGAACGAGTTTTAGTAAAAGGTAACATAAATCCTCGGCAAGACGATATCGGACTAGTTCAATTAACTTCTCTTGTACGTGCCTGGTGCTATAACTGCCGTCCGAGAAACTCTTCAGGTTAATTAATGTCAACTTCAGTGTCCTTCAGAAAATTCTGCATAAACAGATGGGAGTCAATTTTTGATTTATGGTAATGTTTATTCTGCTTGAAAGTCGGTAAATTCCCCAATATTTCGCATCAGTTACGAAGGATGCTCCACCAAAACGCAGCTTCCAAAGTGGAGCTATGCGTATCGTCGCGTTTAGTGCTCTACACAGAAAATATGAAGCGTTTCCGAGAGCAGTCTCATACAAGCAGCCGTCGATTGCCACCGAACAATCAGCCTGTCCTAGAATTCCTTACTATACACCTCGAGACAGTGCAGGGGTTTAGCAACTTTGAAGAGTTAATGGCTGAAGATGAACAAGGCCATTAACCGGTATGCTTTTTATTCCTGCCTGTGCTGTATCAGTTCTGCCCAACATCCGCATTTATTGGAGACAGTGGTAAAAAGTTTACCGTTCTGATCTTCAGGCTTCTGTTCCCAGTATATGTAAGTAACGGATTTGGCGGATGGCCAAAAATGACTAAAGATGGCCCCGTGTCGCGCAAGGTCATGACAGTCCGATCGTCGTTACCAACGAAGCCTATCGTGTTCCCAGAGCAAGGTGGGCGTAGGACAGTGACTTCCACGTGCACTAATTTATAATGAAAGTGGACTTGAACCACATCTGCCGCACCCTCTCTTCGACCAACTTCGTGGACCCGATTTCAAGAAAGTCGGAAAGACCGTAGGCGGGATCAGGCGCCGGCAGCTGGCGCGGCAGGAGTCTGCGCCCAGGGGTGCCACTGCACACCCCAATGTATGGCATTTGTTATGGGTGCGCGGACTAATAATGCGTGGCGTACCCTAATCTGGTCCCGTATTGGTTAGGTATAACTCCTCTGTGGCCTATTGAAGCAGGCAGACGGACAGGGTTATATACCTTCACGGACGACTAGTTCTGTTTTTATAAAAAAAAATGTCCGAAAAGAATCGGTGCGTACGCGACGTGGGACTAGAGGCCCAAATAGAACAATAAGCGGTTTAAAAAATAAGTCCAGTCTTGTCTAAAGAAGCGCTTTGATATCCAACAATCCAATAAAGGAGTGAGAAACTGTATTTTTCGCGCACACTGCTGAAACTTTCGATCTTTCGGCTCGAATGAGCTTCAGAAAATGAGAATCAACAACTAATTGATACCCAATAACAGGCCAAATTACCTTTTCAGTCAGCTTCGATTCTGATAGCAATAAAATTTAGCACAGATTGCAACACACAAACGACGACCGCAAGTACGTCATGGAGAGATCTACCTTCACTATAATTGATTGTGCTGTGTAATCCATTATTCAGTCCGAGTTGGGATGGTGCAAAGTACCTATCCAACATTTGCATGATCAGGTGAAGTGGCCGCTCAGAAATAGATAGTTAATAAGGACAGAGGAGGCGTACGAATTGGCATATGAACGACTAGAACATCGAGCCATAAATGGTCTTATAAGAGGTGTACTGCCACTGGCGGCGACAGCCGCACGAATCAAGTAGGACAATGTGGCTTTTCGGTCGGGAGTCTAACACGAGTTGCGTCACAGTTACCAGACAGGAAAAAGGGCACATAAACCGAGGAATCGCGCTAGTCCTCCGGCTGAATATTAGGGACTGAGAGAAGCTTCTCTCTACTACAGTAATTAGTTAAATAAAAGTTGCAGCACCCGCACGAGCAGTTTTGAATTTCTAACACGCGAAAATTACGGGGAAAATGAGCCCCAGCCACGGAATACAGTGTTCACTTATATTTTAAAATTCGACGCAACGGAGTCGTTGGTGAATGACACCCGCGCGGGTTTAATAGGCGCCTATTAAACTACATGACCGTGTCATGGAAATAAATGAATAGAGACCATATGGTCTCTATGCACGTAGCATATGCTAAGTGACATCAAGACAACGCCGTAGTCCTAATAAGCATAGTTCGGAATTGGAAAATAATGGAAGACGGGGTAGAATTTTGTAATCTAGGATAATGACTCTCATATCCTTACATTTCAGACCCGTGTGGCTACAACCACATAACGAGGGATCCGGTTTACAACATATGTACCACCTAAAAGTTCCCGTCAAGAAGGTTCGCTGTGTAATCCACTAACTCACGAATGATCTAATGCATTCTCGGAGGAATACGCATAACTGTAAAGAAGTTTAACAGATAAAGCAGTTTTCGATAGAATCGGCCAGTGAGCAATAGGGGGAGGGGATAGGATTACCAATAGACCGACAAAAACAAGTCAAAACCTGGGTGGCATTGCGATGTTGCGTCCGGCATCTTTGATGGGAAGAAATTCTTCCTCGGGATCCGCAATACTAATACATAGAAGTTAAGCGCAGTTGTAGCTTGCATAATTCCTTAAGGCGGTTGTTCGAATACAGACCAGGAGCAGGAAAAATACCACGCTTTTTACTGCATTGTGACACGAACTGTTACATAGGACATCGTCGTCTAATGAGAGGTGGAAAAAACCGACGAGCACTTGACAACCAACATGGACCAGCATGTAACAGAAAAATAACTGTTTTCCAGAATTCGGTAACAAACACTCGTGAACAGGGACTTTTGTTAGTATTCGGTCAAACCTAATCCATACAGCTACTGAAAAATGTCATGAAGTGTCATTACAGCTCTAACGAATATCTTCATCCTAAGAGATGTGTCGTAACTTAGCCCAACGGATCACTTGTTCACTACTTTAATTCGAACTGGCCAGTACTACTGCAAGTTTTTTCGGCCCATAAAGCGTAACTATAGTTATAGAATGTATACATTCCCCGAGTAAGTCGTCCTGCGGCAACAATCGCCTACCCGTTGTTTGTTTTCCGAGAACCAGGATTTGTCGGACAAACTTTTGAAATCGTAGTTGTTCGGCTTCGTTCATCCTCACTTACCCCCACCCACACGGCGAGGACATCAGGCTTTCAGCCTACCTTCATGAAGAACCTCCCCTGCTCCTCTCTATCCCGCCGCAAGGTACTTTTTCTACTGAAGATTTTTGGAAGTGGCGGTTCCCGCAGGAGATTTTTACGGTTACGTTCGTAGCTCGCAATCTTTTTCCAGAAACTTCCAGTGTGGATGCAGAAGATATTATTATCAAAAGTACCGTATGCAACATGCCAAATCGCAAGCGGACGAGCAACTTTTTCCAGATTTATGTAGCACAATTTCCAAATTTTGCTATACATCTGGCCGCTCACGCCGACCATTACTGTCTATATTGCTGTATTTTGCTAAACGATTCAGTGTTAGAATACTTTTAATGGTGCTGGATCAAAAATAAAGCTATTATTATATGACGTAGACCATCTTAAACTTTTAAAAGCTAATAATGAGAAGCGGTTGATTTGCCCAGTTGTTTATACTTAGTGATTTACACAAGAAACGCATCTTCACAATTTGTATTGCAAAAAATTGCAACAATACCTGCCATATTGTTGAAAGTAAAGGCTCAACGATCATTCGGTCCGAATCATGGCCTGGGCCATCTGAACTTTGCGGAGATCTTAAGACCGGAACAAGTGCTACCAGGACGATGCACATGCTGTCAAGGGTCTTAAATTAATTTCGTCGGTCCGATATGAACTTACTCACGGATAACTCACAAGGAATTAAAGAAAGGTATTCGTCCCTAAGTTCATGCCGGTTAGTTTTCAAAACTTTAGCAGACCGACGGAATAAACAACTTGGAAAATATCGAGGTAAAATAGTGATCACGGAAAAAAAA